TGCATTTTTATATAAATAAGAAATCAGAATATATTGCACAAACAAAACCACCCACACTTCAGCAATCGTGTGCACAATATTTTGTTCCCCACAAAAAAATAAAAATAAATAAATGATAGACCACAAAGAATTTTGGGGTAATACATGAGAAATTTAACAAACTTCATAACATTCAAAACATAAATGCCAACCTACAAATGTAGATATTTATAGCAATAAAATAAAACCGCAAACTCAAAAGATGAACAGATTAAAACACACAACTGCAAGTGTGATGGAAGATGAAATTTACTCAACCATATCTGTTTCATATAAATATAAGTCAAAGGGGATGGTGATATCAACAATTTAAATCCACTAAATGCCAATCTACAAAATGTAGTTAGATAAAGACAAACCTTCTGAGATTTTGATCAGAGGGTGCCACAAGCACATATAAAATCAAAATAAAAAAGGAAAAAACCTCAGATGTTTGGACCAAGTGCTATTTGGTAATATAGAAAACATTCAATGTTGCTAAATCTATAGATAGTGTCAATGAAGAACAAAATATCATTTTGTAAGGGGTAAAAAAGTAAGGAATAATAAAATATTGAACCATCTTTGTAGAATGACAACAACATCCAAGTCAAGGCACTAATTAATCACTTCAGCAACCCCACAAGTGGTCAGACTGACCTGGAACCAAGTAGGCAAGTACAAAATAAAGCAACACAAAAACATACATATTGGTGAAAGGTTTCTAATGCTTTAGTAAAACAATGCCCTCCCCATTATTTGGGGCTGGCAGCACATTTACTACAACTAAAAGATTTAAATCGTTTCTCACAATTAGTTTCTCCGACAAAATTTAATCAATATAGCCATTAAAAAAATCCAAAGTATGCATCGTTATTTTCACCTTTGCATGCACAAATTAGAAACTAATGAATCCCTCCCTAACCGGAGTTAATGAATAAGACTTTCCACAGGAAGTTCTTACCTTTCCTAAGATAGGAGCCATTCCCATTATAACTGAAGCCAAAGCAGAGCGAACATGCTGAGAAGAATCTGACGACAATTCCTACAAAATGTTGTTGCCGAGTGATAAGACACAAGACATTAATGGCACAATGGGTAAGGAGTAGGTCCACAAACAAACAGGAAAAATTTCATATGCATGATCATTTGTGCTTGTGAAGACAGAGAGAGGGAGAGATATGCACCTTTACACAGGGAAGAATGTGCTGAATAGCAAGTTCGGGATTAAGAATCTGGCAAAACTTGGTGACTTTGCCAGCAGCTGCTATACGTACTTCAGCTTCATTATCTCGAAGTAAGCGCACATATGCAGGAACCAAATCCATCCTTAAATAGTAATATGATCACATCAATTAAACATTTCGAAAAAAAAAAAGAGCAAGGAGAGCCACTACTGAAACACCCAGACATAAATAAGACTCAAATCTAAAGAAAACAGGCAAAACACTACATATATATACGTGTCTATGTTATCAGTGATAAAAAAGACCAATAATATAAGTATATATAGCTATTAAATTCTTTCAAGACTGCCCAAGATGGTACATGATCACATGGTGAGTAGAATAAAATGTAAGTGTAGTCAACCTGACAAAACAGAATGAGAGCTGTGTGTAGCCAACATAAGGAAATATTTACAGTAGATAAATACCTGGTAGGTTCAGGCCCCACAGCTTCACAAAGTTCATATAACTGATTTGCGACCATATAGCGGACACGCCAAGACTTATCCTATTTAAGAATAATACAGTAGACAAAATAAATATACAACTAAGAACATATCTTAAGTAACAAATGCTTCTGAAAATCAAATATTTTTTCAGCAATCTCAGTCAAAAATTTAACAACTCTCAAAAGCATCATATAATTAACCACAGAGCCTGGAACCAACTGAGAGCAAAGCACAACGGATAGAAACCCAAGTACTAGAGTTGCCGTACATCAGGAAATTCATCTTTCAAAAGGGAAAGGAATATTGGCAGAAGCTGCTCAATTGTTGCATCCTGCATTAACCACCGAACCAAAGTTTAAAAGTTAGCTGCAGTCAGTGCAGCATTAACAAAACTGCATTTTTATATAAATAAGAAATCAGAATATATTGCACAAACAAAACCACCCACACTTCAGCAATCGCGTACACAATATTTTGTTCCCCACAAAAAAAAACTCAAAAAAAAAAAAAAATTTTAGACCAAGTTATTTTATCTTTAAAATTGTATTTATTAATGATATTTTCAAAATTTTATTCCTAAAAGCTCATTTTTTTACTTTTTAGAACAATTTTTTAAAGACTATGCTTGTGATAACTGAAATTAGTTGCTAAATATTTTTACAACAAAATTTATACTTTTAAAAAAAATAATAAATTAATTTCTAAAATTTTTATATATTATAGTGCATGTAAATCCTTGCTTAGTAGAAATGGTTATACAAGATTAACCTCTTCCCTCCTAAGAGACACCTTATGGATAATTATTGGTTGCTTCAAATACATACCAGCCAAACAATTGATTTATTTGTATGCTTATGCAAAATTAGGATTGTAATTTGAGCGGATTTGAGTGGATTGAGAAATTGTTCAAATCATATACGAGTTGTGTTGAGAGAATTGTTTAAGTTCGCTCAAGTTTGACTTGCAATTTAAACTTGTCTATTCAAGTTTAATTCCAAACATAATATATTAAACTTGACTTTTAAATTGAATTATTCATAAATTAAAAATTTTAATTATTTAAATTGAACTCGGAGAAAGGTTCAATCCTTGATATCCTTCCTCTCAGTTCTCATATAATAAAAAATTTGAATGTAACTAAAAAGCTAAAGTATGTGACATCATTTAGCAATGTTTTGGTTTCTTTTTTCGCATCTCACATGTGTCCTTACGCGGGTGGGGCAGTAGGTCAAATGCAAGCTGGGATTCTTTCTTTTCCTTTTCTACTTGCTCACTTCTTTACAACGGTTAAGATTCATTTTAAGAAAATTTAACGGTTCAAATTACTTTATTAAAAAAATTAAAAATTAAAAAGTAATTTTTTTAAGAGTGATCTGAGTCATTAGATTCTCTTAAAATGAATCTTGACCGTTGCAAGGGAACGCCAAATAAAGAAGACAATGAGAAGATTCTTGCTCGGTCAAATGCACTTACAAAGTGTAAGACATTATTGCTCTGTGTTTATTTAATCGATTTTGGTGAATTTGTCAATTTTGAGGATTGTCGTGGTAAATAAAAGAATGTTGAGTGTAATAGTAATACTATTTAAAATAATGGTATCGTTAAACAATTGTAAGTTAAAAAATGGGCAAGATGGAGTGAGGTCGGATAGATAATGTTTTCAATTAGCTGAATTAATTATTTTATAGGATAATGACATGTGATGTTACTATTATATTTAATATCTACTCAATAAATGAATAAATATATTATTTGTGAAGGTGAATTAAATTAAACAATGTTCATTTACAACAGTAGTGCAATTTTTTAAAAACAATTTATTTTGTGTTAAATACAAAAAAGAAAAAGAAAAAAAGAACTAGTTGCTCTAGGATAGTTTCTTGTTTGATTCATAAGCCCTGTTTGGTAGAGCTGTGGGAAAGTACTTATAGCTTATGCCTCAACAGTTTATACCTTATAACTTTCAGCTTAAGCTGATTTCCAGCTTATTCTTAAAGCATCTCTTGCCTCACTCAAAGAATAAGCTGATTTCTGATTTCCAAAAAGCTATAAGCTAAACTAAACACATCAAAATAGCTTAAATTAAGCTGAAAGCTGAAATAAGCTGTAATTAAGCTCTGCCAAACAGGCACATAATCATGGAATGGAATAAAGTCATCCTGGCACTTGTATTTTTGGGTTTTTTCTTCTTTTTTTAGTTTTTGGTTCCAAAATTTAAAGTGGCTAGATGTTCCATTAATAACAAAAATAAAAAGGAGAAATTACACTATACACACACACATATATATATATATATATAAGGCTTGATCCTAGTAATAAATTGAATCTTAATTTTTTAATTATTTTATTTTAAATCTTCATTTTTTAAAATAATATCAATTCTAAAAACCTATTAGCTAATAAGGGTAATTTAAACAATTTAATCAGGTTTTTGTCAATGGTGCTAAACGGCGAAAATAGCTATGAATAGGGGTTTTTGCAGTTTGGTTGCCGCAAGAGAATCTCTAATCTGTCAACTTTTATAAATTTTGAATATAATATAATAATTAATATTTTTTTTAAGATAATAATTCAACTCAACATAACCAAAAGATTGTCAAATAAATTGTCAAAAAAAATAATAAACACATATAAGAAAATCATGCATTATCAAAACTATTTTATTACTTTTTTTATTCAAAAATTATTTAATTTGATTTTTTTTTTAAATGACAAAATTCAACCTTATATTTTTCACACTAAAATATCAAATATCAACCTTTGTCATTTGATAAAAAGATTTTCAAATTAAAAATACAACAAAATATCTAAACTTTTTTTCAATTGTAAACACAAACAGAATATCTGAACAAATTAATAATATAAAATCTTATAAATTACTAGCGGCATTCGTGGTTTGACGGTTCGATTACGGCCAAAAGAACCTCAAATCTGCAATTCGTCCGAAATTAGACGGATTGAAAAAAATCAATTTACAATTATCCGCTCATCATCACGTATTTATAAAATATACGACGGATTAATTTGATTCGATCGATTTAGATAAATTAAAATATCTACTGTTCCCCCCTAACTATGAACTAGCGAATGAATGAAGGAGTGTTAATGCACCAAGAACGGAGAGGAGTAGAGGTTAATGACGAAAAATGATAGATTGGCAGTGGATTAACAAGGAGAAGAGATAATAAATGATGATAATGGGAGAAGTGACCGTCAATAACAATGAAAGAAGAAAAATTATTAAATTATTAAATGAATGACACTACAGGAAAATATAGCAAACAAGACGGGGTTTTTAGCGACGCCGCGCCCCCCGTCGCAAAAAACCGTTTTTTGCGACGGTAACTTCTACTGTCGCAAATAATAGCCTTTAGCGACGGTACTGACCCGTCGGTAATGAAACTAAGCGGAGGCGTCGGAAATGGGGAAGTATTAGCGACGGTAAATAAAACCGTCGCAAAAAACCTTTTTTTTGAGACGGCATATATCATTTGCGACGGCAAATTTCCGTCGCAAAAAAGGATTAATGCAAACGGCACCGTTTTTCGTTCTATTTGCGACGGTGTACATCATACCGTCGCAAAAAGTCCAAAAAAAAAACCCTCCCTTTTTCCTTCTGCCTCCCGCTCGATCCTCCTCACCAAATCCCTAACTTGGTGAGACGTGGCCTCTAATCCTTATCCCTTTATGGGCCTACTGTAATACCACCTAACTCCTTGTTAGGGCAGAAAAAGACGTGTTTTTCCGTAATTGGGAAGGGGCATTGCGACAATTTTCAAGTTGAATGTATGGTAATCCATTAAAATATCAACAATGATAGAGATCATTAATTTTGGAGTTTTAAAAAGATCATTAATGACATGACACTCAATAAAAACAGAAAAAAAATACAACATCAAGGTCAAAATTTCAAATCATTCATAGTGGGGCTTACTGCCACACCACTAATTAGTGCTCTCACTCATTTTCCTTAAAATATTTAAAAATAATTATCACTCAATTATATTATTTATATATTATTAAATTTTAGAAATAAATTTATGTACTCTTTTTTATTATTTCAAGATATTTCATTTTTTATTATTTCAAAATATTAATCTATTTTTAAAGATTAAGTAATAAAATAATATAAATTCACTATTTTACCATTTTTTTAAATTCATTAATAACATAAAAAATACAATTATGACAATTGATATTCTCAAAAAAATATACTATCAAAGGGTAATTTTGAAAAATTAATATTTTTAAAATGTAAAAATTGTACTATAAAAAAAATTAAATTCTCTAACAGAATTATTATTTTGAGACGAAGGGAGTATCAATTTTTCTTAACAACAAAATACACCACCAACATTATTGTATGCATTGAAATGTTGCGTAGTATTTATTAATGTCACTTTTATATTGATTAAATGGATAAATTACACTAACATCCTTGAGATTTGGTCTAATTACATGTCATCTCTTAACGTTCTGAAAATTACATTTCTACCGTTGCGATTAATAGTCTCATTTCACAAACTCCCGTATTTATATAAAATGTAACAATTCCTAATAGAAAAATAGAAAAAATTAAATTGAAAAAAATAAAAGAAAAGAAAGCAAAGGTAAGATAAGGAGGAAAAAAAAATAGAGGAAGTAAAACAAAGTAAGAAAAGAGAGAATGAATGAATTCAATATCTTCATTTAGTTTAAATAATTACAATAATAGAGGGGATTAGTATGATTTTTTAAATGTCAGGGAGTGATATATATAAAATCTAAATCTCAAATAGTGTAAGTGTAATTTTCCCTAATTAAATTACAAAAATATTTGAGACCCTCTTTTTCTCACCCCCTTTGACCCCCTTTCCCTCTCATTGGCCAATTTTTCTTTTTTATTTTTTTTCTTTTCTTTCTCCTCCAATCACCACCCGCCACGTGTGTGTAGGGATGATAGGGATGGTGATTGGAGGGGTCTCTCTCAACGCTCATTAAATTAAACAAAAGAGCGAATCTTCCGTTTCTTTCACCATCATCATGAGGGGAAATTATTCAATGTTGCTGGTGCAATATGCCATTTTATTTATAGTGTGACACTTGA